TTAAATGGCAAACAGCGCATGGAGCAGGAGGCACCAGTGCAAATGGTTGCAGCAAAATGCTGATGTATGTATGCCATTCGTATGGAGATGTATGCTAATCATAGTGGAGGGCAAGGCAAATGGCAGCAAGCGGCACAAGTGATCAAAGTAAAGCTCTCTCTGCCATTCTGAAGAACCTTAAAGACATCCTTGGCTGGCAAAATGCAACTCGTTTATTGTATCCACATTAACAGGAGGTTTCATTCTCTTTAGTTGGCATTTTGGCTGAAGGATGCCCCATGCAACATTCCCCCATGCCCCATTATACTTGCTGATGCGCTGAGTGCACACTCAACAGGCGAATGCCCATTTGTATCTCTTGAGACACACCTTCCTCTGTCTCTCTGTCTCTCTGTGTCTCTGTCTCGCTGTCTGTATTCCCTTGGGATAACTTTTTGGGTGAAGAAGTGGCTCGGGGGGCAGGTCTCCCGCTGAATGATTGCCATTTAGTTTGCCACTTGCGACTAATTCGAGAGATCGCTGAGAGCTGCAGACAGATTTCATTATTTATGCACTTGTGTTTGTGCCGCACGCCTCGCGAATCGCATGTCCTGCCCTGCCACGGCAGACTCCCTCCCTGCCTTCCCTCTTCCTGCCGACAATTAACTTTGTTTTTCGCTTACATTTTCACGCCATTTTTTGGGCAAATTTCTCTTACAATTTTCCTCCTGCTGAGCACTTTTTATGCTTTTATTTATTTCCAACTGCAGTCTGAAGTTGAAGTTGAAGTTGAAGTTGAGGTGGCGCGAGGCTGCATGAACGGAGCTGCCGGAGTGAAGCTTGAATTGAGTTTGCTTTTTGTTTGTTGTTTGTTAGTCCTGCTCCTGGTCCAGGACCAGGTCCAGACTGCTCCTGCTGCTCCTGCTGCTCGAGGCCGTCGCTTCGCACCTTTATGGACTTCTTCATCAACGCGCTTGAAACTTTTTGGCTCAAGAAACGAAGTTAGCGCCAAATGAAAATGGCCAACATTTGATGGAAGCTGCAAAGGGGCAAGCAGGCAGCAGGCAGCAGGCAGCAAGCAGCAGTTGGGGAGGCCAGTGTGGCAGGTTGTCAGGTGGCACGGCCAGCAAGCTATAATTGAGTTATTTGCGCAGTCTTTTGCCTCAACAAGGTAGGCAGCAATTAACCGTGGCACAGAGCACAGAGCACACAGACCCTGCCCCGTAATGGTGAGGCTCCGCAACATTGCCTTTAAAATGGAAACAACATTTTAGCAGCGACTTTCGATGCACTTCTCGCAAGTGGCAGCTGAGTGGCGGTCCAAAGCAGGAACTGGGTCTTGGCCTGCCATAATTCCAATGATTAAATATTGCATTAATCACTGAGGAGCTGCAGAACTGGGCCATCCATTGGCGCATCCACTGGGCCCTCGAAATCAAAGCCTCAATTCCAATTCCAGAACGAGTCGCTGCTGATTCGGCCACAATTGTGCAATTAATCGGGGCTAAGCACTTGCAATCAGCTCCTGACCGACCCACAGGCTCATTAACGGGTTGGGCTGACCCGACCTTGACCCGCCATCGAGCCACCCACAGCCCTAAATCCCTTTTGCAGGACACTGCTGCCACCGCTGTGCTGTGCTGTGCTGGCGTTGCATTTTTAATTTTTACTTTTCAAAAATCCCTCAACGACTGTCCCCCACTGTCCCCTGTCCTACCCTGCCCTGCCCCCATTGCCAATTAGTCCAAAGGTCCAATCGCTGCCAAGGTCAATGGCCCATGGACTTAATGCTCAGAGGGGGAGACAGGAGACAGGAGGCAGGAGGGGAGAGTGCTGTATCCTGCATGGGGGATGGGGCAAATGGTACTACTTCATGGCCATTAGGCGTGCGCTTCGGCCCTAATTAATCATTGTTGAGTGAGAGTTCTGGCCAAAAACACACACACACAAACCAAATAAAAACTATTAGACACAAATGTGAGTTTTTTTTTTTGCTTTTCGCTTATCGCTTTCCCTTCGTTTCCGCCTGCCTGCCCTTTGTCCCGTTGTCTCCGCCATCGCACAATGTGCGCTTCCGGCTAGCCAGGGATCCGGAAAGGAGGAGACAGCAGCCGGTAGACAGGAGACAGTAGACAGGAGACGGGAGAGAACAGCGCACACAAATTACTTAAAGATAGATAGAGAGAGTCCAGAGTCCAGAGTCCAGAGTGCGGATAAGGTGTGGGATGCGTGTGGTACCTTCCAGGGTGAACGGGGCGGAGGGGACTGTTCAACGACGCGTTATTTCCGTTTCCGCATTGAGTGATGAAGTTCCAAGGGTCCTGCCCTGCTGGCTCCTGGCTCCTGGCTCCTGGCCTATGCCAACCTCCCCAACCATTATTATTCTTCTTTTTGCCTCTGCTCCTCTCTCTCTCTCACTTTCTCTCTCTCTCGGATTACCCTTTGCAGCGGGTATAACGATAATTCTGAGATTTTGCTGTGTGCTCCTCCCAGCAAGGGTATCTGAAGTTTCCTTTCTGTTCTGTTCTGTGCCGTTCGGCTCTGTTGTCCGCTCTGTTTCGCTGCTACTGGGGGCAAGTGATAAAATGTTTTATGTGCCCCAGTGTCTGATAACAATAAATAACGCCATCAGGACGAGAAGGAGCCCCTGGAAGAGCGCTGCTCGATGGAGCAGCAGGGCCGAGCGCTGGCATGTAAACAAATTGGTGTTGAAGGCATTTAGTCCTTTGTTGCTGTCAAATGAAATTTGCGGCACGGCACGGCACGGCCCAGACAGTTCGTTTGTTTAGGCCCTCGTAGAGTTTTCCGCTTTTGGTGGGTGCCCTTTTACTTTCCCATCCCTCTTTGGGTGTTTTTTTTCCAGCCCTGCCTTTGATGAATTGTAATCAGCATCCAATAGGGCAGAGCGATGGGCCTACTGGTCCTAAATGGAAGGGTTCGTCGTATTAATCATCTCTATTGTTAAATCCTTGTCGAAGTTTATTTTGTGTGCTTTGGCGACACTCGATTCGATTCGATTCGATTAATTGGCAAAAACAACAAGCAACAGTTGGGCGGGGAAAATGTCTGAAGAACATGAAAGAGAGGGAAATGAGAGGCGCGGAATGTGAGTCTAATAAACAGTAAAAGTACATAAAGTGCTACATATAAGCTTCAGTGCTAGCCATGTGTATATGTGGCTATATTTTGTCCACATCCTTTAGCTTTTTGCATATCCTGTGCATAATTTAAACGGAAGGACAAACAAACAAATAATTGCACATTAATTTATTGGCATTCTCATTAGGATCGCAATTAAATTGGTTGCATTTTTTTTGCTTTACTCTTTACTTAATAAAAGCATAATTGAATAATTATGAACAGCAAAAAAATGTTTATGTAAATTTGCGAATAATTCATGGAGCTCGCTCGCTGCGCCGCTCGGGATATTTAGCCAAATTAAATATACAAAACTAGCTTCGGAAAAGGAATATCTACCGCATTGCAGCGGTTTACAATCGAATGCCATTCAATGGGAATGTGTTCTGTAATATATACAGTATATCTGTAATACCTTTGGCGCTCCTTCACCTTCAATTGTTATATTTTGTCACACACTTTCCCTAGATGTATTGCAGTCGTCATTCGCTTCTGTCATTTTCCACTTACAGCTACCGATGTATGGTACATATATGCGGATTAACCCCATCCACGTGCTTTTCTTATTTAAGGCAAATAAATATTTTCCTGTCCACCTACCAGCCAGCCAATCCATCCACCGACTATCCAGAGGCGGAGGGAGCATCATTTTACGAGTAATTTGGTTATGCATCGCCTCACATGCAGCCGCCTTTCTGGCCATGTGAAAATGAAAGAATGGCCAATGGGAAAATGGGCAAATGTGGAAAAGGTGACGGGAAACGAGAAACGAGAGGTAGCTGAACGCTGAACGCTTTTAATTATGTTGATTTTTCGCTGATTTAATTTTTACCTGCGTTCGTTAAGTTCGGAACAGCAGCAGCAACGGTAGCGGCAGCGGCAGCGGTAGCGGCAGCAGCACAAACCAAATGGAATTTAATTTAATCCTTTTGCCCGAAAGCCCCTTTGGAAAAACATTTCACTTTTTTGTTCAAATTGACCAGGAAAGGCAGAAAAAAAAAACAAAACAAAAAAAATAGAAACACAGAGAAACGCAGAGAAAAAGGCAAATTATAAAAGCGCTTTGGCAAACGAATTTTCACCGAAATCCGTACCCCTTCCCGCCCACACCATTCCTTTCTACTGCGGAATAGACGAGAGAGCGTGCGAGGGAGAGAGCGGGGAAAAATACTTCAAAAGCATCTATTCAAATACAAACGAGCGAGAGGGGGTGAGAGCGAGGGTAAGGATAGCCCAGACTCTTTTGGGGCACGTTTTGGTTAATGTTACACCATTTTTGGTTTAATTACTTTTTAGCTTTCGACCCCAACCCCCAGCTGCACACTTTCGACTGCACTTTTGCCGCGCCACTTGCGCAGTCAACAGCTTAATTAAATATCCTTTCGCCACCCCAAGGATATCTCGCTTGCTCTTTTTTTGGTTGCCTTGAAAGTAGTTCAATAATTGTATCAGAGCTCCGCCAGATGAGCTAATTCGTTGGCATTATGTGGCTTAAGAGAGATTTGCGGTAATTAACAGATGAATACAAGCAGTGGAAACTGATTGGGCTGTAAAAACACTTAAATTGAATACTGTAGAAGGTGTAACTGTAGAAGTAAGCTCCAGCAATGAAAACTGCTGCTGCACCACAATGGGGGTTGGTGCGCACGCTGCTTATCCAATGCGAAAGCAGTGCGGATCGGGAGAGCGAACGCTGTTAGAAAGCGTTAACATTGAGCTGTAAACGCGAAGCGGCTGGCTTTCCCCTTGCTGTTAATGTAGAGCGGCCACAACCAAGCAGTGCTCTGGCTATTCACTGTGTGCGTTAACAGTCTGTTTACCGGCGGAGCCAACAGCTCTGTTCGCCCGTTAGAGCTCCACGCGAAGTTCATGCATAGCTTGAGTTATTTTCTCACACATTTACTACTTTCACTTTATTCATATTCCAGCATATCGTATTGTATTGTAAATGTCGTATCGTAGGTAATATTAGAGGTATTGTACACTCGTAGAACTTGTGCCTGATGAACCTGTTTCGAGGGTCGTTGTAAGGGGGCATTGGCATAGCTGCATTTATGTAGTAGAAACGTATAACGTATCGAAATAAATAGGTCTTTTGCTGGTCCAAACTTATTGTCTAACAGAATACCCGAACAGAAAACAGATGCAGAAACAGAAATATTGAAAAACTATCACTGGATCCGCGTCCGATCTTATCACAAAAAAAAAAACTAAAAAAAACGACACACACACATATTCTCGTCTCTAAATAAAAAAAAAAACAAAAAAAATATGACTAAAGACAATCAATTAATTAATTATTGCAGCGATGCAGCGAAAGAATCACTCAAGTGGTCGTCTCCTCGTAGCCGCAGTGGATGTAGCCGGTGGAAATGGAACCGCTAACAGCCGCCGATTTGCTGGGCAGCCCATTCTCCTCCTCCTGCAGGCCATTCGAGGCGGAGACGGAGAGGGTCTTCTCGCTGCAATCCAGTATCCTCTCGAAGACCGCCTCGAAGCGGCAGCGGTTGACGGAGAAGCGGGTGATGCCCACGGACATGTCCCGCAGGGCGGCAAACAGCTCGGAGAGCAGTGGACAGGGAGCAGCCCCAGGTGTCGAGGTGTCTCCGCCCGCACGCACCTTCACCAGGAAGCGCAGACTGTGGGCGTAGTGCTGCAGGTCGCAGGCGCCCGGCAGCCGCTGTGGCAGCATCTTGGCCAGCAGTGCCTGCTGGGCGGGTGGGCAGAAACAGCTGACGCTGTAGTAGCCTCCATGCTCGGCCTTGAGCCGGGCGGGACTGCTGCTGGCCACGATCTGGCCCGCCTTCAGCACCGCCACGCGCTGGCACAGATGCTCGATCTCGGAGACCGAGTGTGAAGTCAGCACGACGGCACGGCGGGCGGCCAGCAGATGCTCAATGGTCGCGTAGACAAACTCCCGCGTCACCGGATCCATGTCGCTGGTGGGCTCGTCCATGAGGACGGTGGGCGTGTGGCCGCAGCAGGTGGCGGCCACCGTCAGTTTGCGTCGATTGCCGCCGCTCAGGTTCCGCACCTGGACATCCCGGTACGAGCGCAGCTCGTAGGTGTCCAGCACCCGCGCCAGCAGCAGATCCAGATGCAGAATGCCACGCAGGCGGCCATAGAAGAGGATGCATTCGCGCACGGTCAGCAGCGGATCCAGCGGATTGCTCTGCGGGCAGTAGGAGACGCCGGGCTGCTCGAGGTGGATGTGCCCCACATTTGGCTCCAGCTGCCCGGTGAGCACCTTGAAGATGGTGGACTTGCCAGCCCCATTCTTGCCCAGCAGCCCGAAGCACTCGCCCCGCTTGACGCCGAAGTGCACCTGGCGGACGGCGTAGCGGCCGCGGCTGTAGGCCACCCAAAGGTTGTCCGCACGCAGAGCCTCGCCCGGCTCCACGCAGCCCTTGAAGATGCTCTGCAGACTGACGATCTTCAGCTGCTGCAGCTTGTCCAGCTCGCGGCGGTAGTGCCAGTCGAGGAGGCGCTCCAGGCGCTTCCACAGCCGCTGCAGCAGATGGCACTCGATGAGGACATTCAGCACGAGTGCCGCGACACCCACCAGGGCGAGGGCAATGAAGTGGCGCTGCAGCAGATCGCTGGCCAGCGGATGCTTGTACGAGTCGATGTCGTAGCGCTTGAATATCAGCGCCACCATGTAGTTCTTGCACAGCTCCAGCAGTCCATCGCCCAGCGCGTGCTGGGGGAAGATGAGGAAGGCCTCGTTCAGGCCATGCCGCCAGCCATCCCACGCAGTGCCCTCGCCCACAACGCCCAGAATGAGTATGATGCCCATGGTGACCAGTGGAATGATCATGTTTGCACAGAAGATCGACACAATGGCAATGCTCGAGTCGCTGAACAGCTTCTCTGCCACATGTACAGCCGGAACGCAGGCAAAGCTAAGCAAAACGAAACGAAACGAAAAGTGAGTGAGATTGAAAGGTGAAAGGAAAGGTTTCTCGGTGCACCCACCTAAACATCAATGAGAGTCCAATGATGCCAATCAGCTGCTGTCTGGCGACAAACACCGGCATGCTGAAGATCAGCACGATGCCCAGGCAAACGACGAGGGCCAGCACCATGATCAGATAGTCCCACAGGAAGGCCACCAGCCAGTAGGTCACAGCCGAGACGCCGCACAGTCGCTGCTGCAGCTTCTCACCGCTGATGCGCTCGTTGACGAGATAAACGGCATTGGCGGCCACCACCAGCCCGAAGGCAATCAGCAATATGAACACCATGCAGGAGTCGCCAGCCTGCCGCAGCAGCGAGCTGGTACTGAGCTCCGCAAAGCCCAGCTTCCACGGCTCGTTGCGGGTGAGTATCCCGTACTCCGAGTCGTTCAGGCTGGTGCGCAGCAGCTCCGAGTTCAGGTCGTTCAGCCAGGCCATCATTGCGTGGTAGCCCTTGTTGTTGTACCAGACAGTGGCACCCGACCCGTTCAACCCATAACCACCGTAGCGTCGCTCCCTGAACTCATCGAGGGTCGTCAGCACCCAGTCGTACGCCTGCGCAGAGTCACTGAACTCATGGCAGTCGGCGGAGGAGTCACCGCAGCTGGCTCTTAGACCTGGATAGAGCTGCTCGGTGAATGGTGTGAGACTCTCGCGGCTGAGCAGCTGTACGCTGTGCGGGTAGAGGGCCCTGGTGAGGGGCAGCACCGTGTCAAAGTCATCCTCCAGGCGATAGCTGACGAACCACATGGCACACAGCTCGAACACGGCCGGCAGCAGGAGCACGTACAGCAGCAGGCGATAGTTGCGGGCCAAGTGCCGCAGGCGCTTGCCAAACAGCAGTCGCATCTGCACACAGGACGAGGGTGGATCCTCGGACACGTCCGCGGGTCCCGCCACAATGCTGCTCTCCGATGATGCTGCTGCTGGTCCCACCTTTGGCTGCTCCTCGTTGCGACTGAGTTGCTCAAACTCCTGCTCCAGGCTGCTGCTCGACGAGAGCTCCACCTCGCTGATGGCTCCGAGGGACTCCTGCTGCTGCAGCAGCTCCAGGAACTGCACGGCAGCGGGTGTCAGATTCTCCGCATAGCTGGCGCTGATGGTCAGCCGATGCTGGTTCAGCTCCTCCTCGCTGGCAGGCAGCAGCTGGCTGTTGGTCAGCAACTGCTTGCTCCTGGCCGCCACATGAGCCGCCACTGGGGCATCCGCGCAGCGCATCTTCAGGCTGTAATTGGCCGTGCAGAGATGCTGCAACGAGTCGCGACTGTGCTGGGCAATGATGCGACCCTGTGGATGAAGGATTAGCAAGGGAAATCTCACACACATAAACTGGGAGAAGCCACTCACGTTGCGCATGATGACCAGCGAGTCGCTGAGGTACTTGGCCTCGTCCAGAAAGTGGGTGGCAAATATCACGGCTCGACCCTGGCGCAGCTGTTCGATCAGATGCCAGATGTCCTTGCGCGCCTTGGCATCCACGCCGTTGCACGGCTCGTCCAGGATGACGACACTGGGCGAGGCAATGAAGGCAATGGCCACACAGAGGCGACGCCTATAGCCACCCGACAGCTGCCACGACGGATAGTCCTCGTGCTGGCCAAAATTGAGGCTCTTCAGTGTGCGACTCACCTCCGCCTCGACGCTGTCCGCCGACGCCATCTCGCCCGATCCAGAGCCACTGCCACTGGGGGACATCTTTATGTTGGCATACAACTGCAGATGCTCGCGTGCCGACAGCTTTGGTATGAGAATGTTGTCCTGCCAGCAAACGCCGACATTGTGCTCCCCGGCGAGCAGCACCTTGCCGCCCGTCTGCCGGATCTGGCCGGTGAGCAGCTTGATGAGGGTGCTCTTGCCGGCCCCATTGCGACCGAGCAGGCAGCTCACCTGATTGCGAGCAAAGTCCAGATTCAGATTGGACACGGCACACCGGTTGCCGTAGAGCTTCGTGACATTCAGCAGCGAGGCGCCCAACTTGTCGTCCAAATGGGAGCGCACAACCCGCACGAAGCTGTACTCGGCTGAAAGTTGGATTCAAACTTAGAACAGGTCCAGCGGGAAGATCCTCAGGGATAACTTACTCTTCTTCCACCTCTGATAGGCATAGCCAATGGCTGCGTAGAGCAGAAAGTCGAGCAGGAACATCAGCATTGCCATGGCGCACTCGCTGCGCGCGGGTCCCAGCTGGATGAGTTGGCCACAGGTGAGGCCCTGCTGCTGCAGCTCCATGCGCATCAGTTCGCCCCAGCCCTTGGCGAAGGCCGTCGTGAAGGAGAGATCCACCAGGAAGCTCTCCAGCAGATTCAACTTTGCATCGAACATCAGCACAATGATGAAGGGGCAGAGACTGATGAAGAACAGCAGCGATGTGGCCACCGCACCAATGTTGGCAGAGGTAAAGAAATTGGAGCACATGTAGCAGAAGGAGATGAGGCAGGCGCCAAAGCTCAGGCAGTAGAACATCACGAAGAACCAGTTGGTGTGCGAGAGGATGCCGCCGCTGTAGAGCACCACGCTGATGAGCACAAAGATCAGGCACAGCTCCATGAGGCTCATCAAGGCCCAGGCCAGCAGCTCCGAGTGAGCCTTCAAGCCCATCGAACGCATCAACTACAAAAGGGAATACAACGAATATTAGCAAAGAGTAACGGACACGCTGTACACTCCACTCTCCACTCTCACCATACTGTTTCTGCTCTCTCGCATCCAGATGCGCTCCCGCACACAGATCGCCACGGCCACCACCAGGCCCAGGCAGTAGGCCAGCTGCACGGCCTGGGCGAGATAGAGTCCCCGCTTGAACTCATCGTTGACGTACGCGGGATAGGGGAACTGTTTCGTGTAGAACTGCATGTTGTCCACCTCGAACTTGGGCTTCTTGTTGCCGGCACCGCCGCCCCCAAGGCCGCTCAGCAGATCCAGCAGGCCCTGACGCTTCGAGCGGCTGAGTACTTCGCCATCGCCATCAGTATTCCCATTACCGCCCTGTACATCCTCCAGGTTGAGCAGAAACCCTGGCTTAAAGGTTGTTTCCTTCGTTTCCTGCGCCACTGTGGTGCTGGGTGGAGGGGCAGTGGTCTCTGGATCCTGGATGGCTGAGGTGATAGCCTCCGAGGAGGTGCTCTCGATGCTCAGATCAAAGTCATCATCATCATCGTCGTCATCGTCGTCTGCGGCATCCACAGCCTTGATGCTGAACAAACTGCCGGGCGATCGGGTGGCGGGCTCCTCCGCAATGAAGCCCGCCTCGTCCCGCTTGTGCTTGACAATGCCCAGATCCACCATTTGCTTGAGCTGCACGAACCCCCGATGGTACTTCATGTCGATGATCATGCTGTCCGCGGGTCCGGGGAACCAGAAGCGGTTCCTATTCTCGAACGTTGGCTGCGTGTTGTCCGTGTCCATGTGCAGGCGATAGACCACCTCCTTGGTGCCGACACTCTCGAAGTTCAGGGCCGCCAGGAACATGCGCTTCTGGTTGAGATCGTAGGCGCGCTGCTGCAGCTCCTCCACGCTATCCACGGCCACAAAACGGTCCGCAGACACGCACTCCATCAGATCCGAGACGGTGGTGAGTATGTCATAGATGATTTGATTCGTGCGTATGAACAGGAACACTCGCTCGATCTCCTCGATGTCAAAATCATCGCCGACAACGCTCTTCACCAGCGGCGAGCGGGCCAGCTTCAGCAGATTATCAAAGGCCAACTGAAAGGTGGCATTCGTGTGGAGTTTGGTGAGGATTGTGCCCGCTGCCTGCGACAGTTGCTTCAGTTTGTCCAGCTCCTCGAAGGTGGCATTGCTCTGAGGAAAAACACACACGCGAAATTGGTAATGGAATGGAGAAGATTTCTCTCAGGCTACTCACAAACTTCACCACACTCTCCGTGAGTGTATTCGCTGGAGTGTAGAGTATCTTGCCCTGGATTATCGGCTTGATGGTGTTCCATGTGAGCTTGCCCTGATTCGTGGAGGTCACATCCAGGTAGAGCCGCTTGCAGTACTTGGCTGTGGGGGGGGGATCAGCAGAAAAGGGGGAAATATAATCTCGAGGGTAGACTGTGAGATGAGCAGCAGCTAACTTGGCCTCCAGTCCACTGTTCCACTGGTCTGCCTTCTGGCTCTGCCGCTGCTTTTGTCGCTGCTTTGATACTCACTTGGCATGGCATCCAGTTCCGCGTCATTCACCTCGCTAAAGTCCTCCGAATAGAGGATGTCATTGACCAAAGGAATGCTCTCCGTGCTGGGAAATGGATGGCCACACAGCAGCGTTCCCAGTTTCACAAAAGTCTCGCGATCTGCAGGAGCAATTTCAACCGATTAATGGACTCAAGGATTCAAGCAAAAGATTCCATCCACCTACTGGAGAACAAGTGCTTGACGTCAAAGCTGTAGTTCATCATGCGCTCAATCTCTGGCACCAAGGAGATAATTTCCGTGATGTTTGCTAAAGGAAAAAGGGTAGATCCTAGTTAGTTAGATCCTTGGGCAATCCCTGGGTCCACTCACTGCGTATAATGTCTAGATGATCGCTGGTTATGAGTGCCGTCACCGCGGACACAAAGTTCGCCTTCTCCGCCAGCTCCACGATGGCCGTGTGCAGCTTGTCATCCGTCACAAAGACATTCACCACACCGATCACAGAGTGGAGTCTGCAAAGAAGAATCACTAAATAGAAGGCAGTAAATGTATGAGAGTTCCATGGAACTTACGGCGCGCCCCTCCATTTGGTGTACTCCTCGTAGGGCGTCGCTGGCAGGCACTTGTTCTCGAGGCTGCAAATGTAGGAGAAGGCACTGGGCACCATTTGGTTCTTGGTGGGCAGCAGTCTGGTGGGATACTGGCAGGCGGCCTTCTCCTCGGAGCCATACTTCATGCGTATCAAATACAGCATCATGAAGAGCAGAATGGGCCAAATGAGTAGCGTGAGGGTGAGGCCCTTTTGGCGCCATCGCACCAGGAGATCCTTGCGCAGCAGCACACGGATCTCCCGCGTATTGAAATGCATCCTCATACTCGGTCACGCACTCGATCTCAGTGCAAGCGCCAGATCTGTGCTGCTACTGCTGGAATGATCTGTAGTGGTTGTGATCTCTTTGGGTCTTCACAAACAGTCCAATCATTGAGGCATCTTGCGGCCTGCAAGAGATTGAGTTGGGAGGGGTTTTAAAAGGCTGCATGCTAACGGTTGCAGAATTGTGGGGCCCTAACAGATCCATCAAAATGAATCAAACAACAAAGAAGTCAGTCCCAAGCTACCAAAAAGGATAGCCAAAAGAATGGAATGGAAGAAATTGTATAGCTTCTCATGCGAGTAGCTGATTCTGTAATGCCGTGAAAGGGCATTCGCAGCAGCATCATCAGCATCATCATCGATTTCCTGCCTTGTGTATGAGTCGGTACTTCCCTATCGCATAATTAGCTGGCTGTTTGTCTACCGCGTTTGTTGCCTGGTTTCCTTTGTGTGTGGCGTGGTGTGGTTTCGTTTGGTGTATCTCCGATTGTATCTCCAATACGGTTTTAGTTTCGATTTGCACATTGCTAATTCAGGCAGGCCAGGCCAGGCCCGGCCCGGCCCGGCCGTTAATTCCGCTGTGGTTCGCCTTCAAATTGCACTTCCCCCTCTCGGACCCATCCAGCTAAAGAGCGTTGATGGTGGTGGTGCCGAGGGGGGGTGGGGGCAGAGAAGCAATGACAATTATTTTAAAGCGTGCTTCTGTAATTTAATTTAAATGAAATTATTGCCTGAGTCACTGACCGACCGAACGATGCCGAACAATTATAGATCATTTCACCGTCTCCACACTCCGGAGTGCACTGCAGTGCAGTTGAGGCCTAAAGCTGTGATGAATCTTTTGCAGGAATCCCTCGTAACCTTGTCCTCCTAATCACAGCACTCACAGTGCTCGAAACTATCCATTAGATTTAACAGCCGCACTCTCAGGTGGGGGGAGCAGATGGGCCGCATCCATTACCCAGGCAGACATTTGCCGGTGCGATTTATGGCTGGTTGAACCTCGCTGAAAACCAGTTACAAATCAAATAATGCTCGTCTTTAGCTTGTGTATACTGTATACTGGATACTGGATATATAAAATAATAATAAACTCCTGTTCTGTTCTGTTCTTGTCTGTTCGGTTTGCATTTCGTATGCAAAGCTTGTGACTTGTGACTTTTGCATACCCATACACACAATCGGTGGATCCGTTTGTGTGGACTGTCTGGCTACAGGTTCATGTTCAGGTTCAGCTTTTGTCGTGTGATTCGATGCGATCTACGATCGAAAGTGAGAAAATCCCAAGCGAGACAAAAGAATATTAAGCCACAGCCAATTCTCGATAGAGTCGACGAACATTTGGAAATGTTAAAGGATGAGACACATGGAGTGATGCCAGTGTATCGCAGTGAAGCATAGATTGAGGTACCCTTTAATGAATATTTCCAATGAAAACAAACGCAAATTCGATTGCAAAACGGTGCAGTAAATGCCATGGGAAACGGTTAAAAACCCGCTTCCAGCAATTTTCACATCTAAAACGGAATATGCTTAAAATGCAACAATAAATAATCGCACACATTCGCTGCAGCGGTTGATCACTGTAGAAATCATTGCCCCAGAAACCATTGTCTCTGTCGTGGCGGTTCTCCACGTATTTCGGAAACAATACAAGTATTTCCCATAAGAGCAAACCCCAAAAAATAAATCACACACACACCAAGCAAGTTATGTGCTAATGGGAACCAGTTACCCATTTCCATTTCCAGTGCAAGTTTTAGTTTTAGTGTTTGGAGATTCATTTTCTAGTTGCGATTGCAGCTTGCAGCTTGCAGTTCCAGTTGCAGTTTTGTTGATTAGCCAACAGCATAATAGGTTGACTCAATGTAATCATCAATGATCGTTCGATGGGGGAATGGGATTATCTAACCGATTGACCTGAGTCGACCCGGCATTTGCTCCACTTTAAGCTTTGTGCGATGTTTTCGGAGGAGCCATCTATCATCTGTACTGGCGCTGATGCTACGCTGTGATTATTGCAAAGTAATTTAATTATATACACAAGCAACGTAGTAAATCCCCCACTATATATTTTACAACCACAATTTAGAGTTCAAACTTACGCCAGAACTTTCGTGGTTCTTTTTCTAATTGCCAGCTGGAAGATATTGAGTGGGGAAGATATTCCCCCACGTGCCCCAGGCGGGCACGAGTCGTACATTACTTTGCGAATGCACTCGTACCGCTCCGTACCCCTTACCCTTAGACGTATTATAAACCAGACTTTGGACCACTTCACTTTGAGCATTTAGACTAATTAAAATCACAGCTAAAATCAGCAACAGAAAGTGCGCTGGTGCTGGTGCTGGTGCTGGTGGCTGGTGCCGGCGTTTTGTTATGATGCAGTCGCTAAACAGGATTTTGATGGTGATTTGAAAGTAATCTCCCCTGCTGTACCCGTATGCTCGTATACCCTGTTGTGCAATCAAAACTTGTTTAAATCACGTTCAAATAGCTGAAGCAGAAGCAGAATCGGACTCAGAATCAGAATCAGAAGTGCCAGCAGCGGCAGAGGCCATCTAATGCTCAATATAGAGTTCAGATCAGGGATCTATCCCTTGCATTCGAGAACTCTGATTAGAGCCCGACAGACAGACAGCGGAGCACTCACTCGTTAATACATAAGATGGAGATGAGAGCACCCACCTTGGACAGCAGCTTCTGTCAGTCGCATTCCCAGACCAGACAATCAGCCTCACTAAATCATCTAGTAATGCGCTGGAGCACTAATATCTCATACAGATGGGCATGGTGCGGAGTGGGGGCTTCGGTTCTGACAGTTTTACGATGATGTGAGCGAACGAGCGCCATTTATCATCTAATCGAATGAGCGACCTTGACCATGAGTCTCACCACTGAAGAGCGAAATCTAGCAAACTGAATTTGAATATTAAATAAAAACTAGAAACTAGTTTGTGGCTGTCCACTAGGCGTGTGGCATGGCTTTTTCTGCCTCCCCCGGAACACTTCTCTGCACCATAATCGTGGTATCGTGTAATGCATTTTGTTCTGATGATTATCCCAATTACACATCCGCTCTCTCTCTCTCTCTCTTCTATCTTTGGGTATTGTATTAGCCGAGAATATCGCTCGACAAAAGTCGCGTGTGGCTGGCTCTGCTGCAGTGACGCGTTTTTTTCCGCTACTTTTGATTTTTGTCAGTTGTCATCGGCTAATGATTATACCCAATATAGTACGTCAGTACGGATGCCCAGATGTCTCCGTAAATATATTTATCCCTAGCTATTTCTGGCTCTTAATTCTTAATTATTTATAAAGAATTCTCAGCATGAGGAAGCCCTGCAGCTAAATTGGCAGCAACCGACTGAGTTGCACTGTCGCATGACACGTGTCGGCAAGGAATGTTAAGGGATTAAAGTGGCTCCCACATCTCCCACTTGGCGCCAGTTTGTTTTTGCCTAGTTCTGCCTTTGCTTCTGCTTCTGCTTCGATCGATCGAACGAACGATCAGCGTGAGTTGGCAAGCACCGCAGAGCGTAGAGTTGGCTAAAACGATATGTACATACTTTAGATATATAGACACACTCGTAGGTTTGTATGTAGATTCTGTCGTATATTTTATTTATACGCTTTTGAAGCAGGCGGCTGCTGGCTGGCTGCATAGGAAATGCTTCTGACTCTTATTTATTTTGTTTTAATTTTACTTTTTCTTTTTATTTTACTTTGTTGCTGCTGCTGGAGAAGGCTTCAAAAGCAGCAGCAGCAGCTATCAAGGTCATTGCTTACATGTGCAAAAACTTGCGATGCAATTAAGTCTGGATATGCCCGTCGTTTAGCTGAGACTAACTGAATGAGTGAGTGTCTCCCTCCCTCCCTCCCTCCGTCTGGCTGTGTGCCTGTCTGTGATAACCAGTCTCTGATAATAACTGCTGCCTGTTGCTGTTTTACTGCTGCTGCTGCTGCTGCTGGTGCTGCTGCTCAAGGGCTATTGATGTTGTCGGTATATGCTAAAAGAATATGCTAATGTGGCCAGAATATTGCCAAACCAGAAGCAAGCGAGCGACAGATAGGGGATGTGGTGAGTTAAAAGATCTACACAGGTACATGAATAGTATGAGTGTTTGGGAGTATATAGCTACCCAGGCAACCCAAGTAAGATTTCCAAGATATTTGCAGTTCGCACGTTGCAATCTTTTGTAAGTTTTTCAACTTTAGATTCAATGTCGAAAACCTTATAGTTTTGCTGGATTTTTGCCTCTATAACACTTTGAACGTGTTAATTACTTGGATATGCATGTTAGCGATTTCTCATGCGTTAGTTGCGGTGTGCGGGGGTGGGTATAGAATACACTAACAAGGAATGGATACACCAAACAGGCAATAAAAGTGCTGCCTGCCAATCAATTCAGATCGCTCTACTCTCTGGTTAGGGTATCCACACGTTCCACACGTTTTTCCATGCTACGTGCTTGGTGTTTTCACTTTCGTTGGTTTGTTGTCGATTTTGCCACCTTCTTATGCTCGTTTGGCGTTGCTTTACGGCCACCCCACATATTTTCTATGGTTTGTCATGGCTGTTTTGCCTTTGCTCTTGCTCTCTTGCTGTCTTGCTCTCTTGGAGCTTTGTTTTGCTTTGTTTCTGGATGGAGCCAGCCTGCCCAAAAGGCAGATGAGCAATCGGTGGCGGGGCAACGTGCCAAGAAAACCCGATCCAGAAACAGAAGCAGAAAAAGAAAACCAAAACCAAAACTAAAAGCAACTACGATGGACCCCGGACAAGAAATCAAACTGAATAACAAGTTGAAAGCGATAGCGATTGAAAACAGCTGTCGGCACGCCACGGAACGGGGACGGAACCGAACGGCTTGAGTCGCTCTTTGCTCTTAAAGACCAAAAGCTTTTCAAGCCAGCCGGGCGGGCGGGCGGTCGGTAAGTGCATCTGTGTACTCTTTATCTCTTTTCTCTTTTTGCTTACAGATGGGAGGTGGAAAGTGACTTGAGGAAGGAGGAAGTAGAACCCTGGAACCACTTGGGAGTTATTGCGTATTGTGGAAAACTTTACTAAGACCCAAATCGGTTAACTGTGCCCAAAGGCCACCCTTCTTCCATTTAAAGGGCATACAAATGTCGCCATGGCTCTGCAGAATCCACATGCACTTTTATGTTGTTTGTTGTTGCGCTTGAAGCACTTTTTTTTTGGGTCTTGGGGCCTGCTGTTGCAAGCCCTACTGAATGAGTGGGACGGGCAATAATACAGAAGTGAAAAATACTTACTATGCGGTAGTTGAAGCACCAAACTGATGGACTACCTTCCCCCACTGAAGGTTGTCTGTTGTCTTTGGGGGTTATTGGTTTTTGGTTTTTGGTTCTTGGCACAGATGCAGATGCAGCAACCGTGAGAGACGCAAGCAAAAACAAAAACACACGCAAACACACTGAACACACAATACACAGCACAACACAACACAACACAACACACTTTTGGTGCTCCACTCTTGAGTTTTGTTGTTGAGTTTAAGTTTAAGTTTGAGTTCGGAGTTCGGAGTTCTGAGATCACTGATTCTAAGTCTGTTATGGCTGGGTGCGGCTTTGCAAGTGCATCCTCCCAACGCACTCACAGGAACAACAACAAACAACAAAAAAGGAGTTAGTCCGTTAGTTAGTTGGCTAAAAAACTGTTGCCAATATTCAATCAATCGCCTTCCAATCAAAAGCTCAACCGTCCGCTTCCAGTTCAACAATTGAACTGAGCTTGACGAAACGCGCGTACCGGGAATTATTTAATTCCGCAGCGTCGTCCGACGCTTCGCTCTTCGCTCTTCGCTCTTCGCTCTCCGTTGCGATCCGATCGACGCAACGCAAAGCGACGCCGTCTCTCCAAAACTTTAAAGCTCCCTGCAGCCACTACTCCTAACTGTTCTTTCTCAGATTGGCGATCTGCGATCTGCGCTCTGCGATTGCGTGACGGAAGCGAGATCACATATCCCACATTTCCAATTCGGATTTCAATATATTTCTATAATTAATAACTCCATAGATTTGGGGGCTGCTTTAATTGATAGTTCTAAACTGCTCCCTGTACTTATATCCAATGAAATGCCGAAATATGAAAAACCTTTTTCAAGCCCAAAAAGAGAGAGAGGGAGGGAGGAATGAATGGGGCTGAGTAGCAAATGAAGGCTAATTTGGGTGGCCAGTGGGGCGTGTAATGTTTGTACTTTGTACCCTGCGGGATCGGATCCATATGGTATATATGCCAATGGAAATGGTCGAGAGCTGACTCGACATATTTTCACACTGCAAGGAGATATCTACAAGGAAACCCCCAAAGCATAATAAATTGTTTGCCATCGCTTGATCATCATTACATATGAAGAATGGGATCCGTTGGGGAGCCTAAGACAAATACATTAAAAACAGACCCAGAATCAAAGTAAAACCCGCTTTCAACTGTTTTCTGATAAAGAACTCATTTGGAATGGGACAGTTAATAGAGAACAACAGAACTACCTCTTGGTGCCCTTGCACTGTTTTATTTGAATCTTGATTCAACCAAATGTCAGAACTATTTCCCCCATAAACAGCTGCATGCGAATCATGCAAGAGCTCTGGGCCAGTAATCTCTGCAATTTTCTAGTGCTTGAGTACCCAAAGAAATACCAAAACACCAAAAACTAAAGAACTTTTCCCCATTGGTTTAGGTAGAACAGAGCTTGGACGTACGCCAATGGCCACTGGCCACCCCGCATTCCCCTGGGCGTATTACACGAACCAGAACCATAACCATTCTCACATTCCCATTTGAGAACGAATAACAAATACAAATACAAATACAAATGTCCAAAAGATTCGCTTGGTTGCGTATCAGTTGGACATAATTGCCAAAGTCATTATTGCCCAGGCCCAGGCCCAGGCCCAGGCTGCGGATCGTAAAAAACTAAATGCTCAAAAATAGTACAAATTAAAATTAAAATTAAAAAACCAAATTATGAAATTGTTTATCAGAACAAAGAGCACAACCACATCTGCAAACGAGCAGCGATGGCAATCGCCAAAATACGTATACGAGTAGCAAAACGAAAGAAACCCCTAACTAAAAGCAATTAAAAAACAAGAAACACCGCCACCAAAAACAAAGAACTTTTACTAGAACCAATGGAGAGCTTATCATCAACCAAGATTTTACGTGCTCTCAGTCTGTGCTCTTTGGGTATACTCCCAGATGCGGGACAACCTGTTTACGCTCTTATTATCTTCCTTAAAGTTTAATTGTTTATTTAGCAAGACTAACAAATAAAAACCAATTTCATCCTTAAGTTCATTGGCGGCACAGGTTCGAGTATGTCTCTCCTATAATCCTTTGTTCCATACACTTCTGAGTGTTTTTAACATATAAAGACTGTGGACACATACTTACTCGTATGCATGTAAATCTCCCGACATCATTCCGGGTTCACCTACGGGGGCGACCCCATCATTCGGACTTCAATAAAATTGAAGCTTTTTATTGTAGGCTGCTGCCAACAGGAAGTGGTAGAATGCTTCCCCTTGGAGTTATCACACAACAGAGACTCAGCCGCGAGTGGACACCACCCACTCGAGACACGCACATCATCGATAGATCGAGACCTTTGTTGGCCTTAAAAAGGGGGCAAAAGTCAATGGAAAAATTAACACAACAATAATGATCATGTGTGTAATTATTTCCACTTCGAAAATATATCAATAAAGAGATTGTGTCAAAGCAGATCTATCAAATTATAATCATGGGTTGATGCTACACTTGTTTATACTTTATTTCGCTTAATTTTAGTACATGCAAATCAATTATATTTTTTTAACCTTAAGCATGGCTACAGGGACATTTGCTAAGATCAATCGTTTACCTTGGCCTTAACATACATTCTATACACAATGAATTATAAGGCACCCGAGCTATCACAGGAATATAACTACATATGCATGATGATATATCCAGTCTCAATTTGTCGGTTAGCAAAAGGTTCGTGCTTGATGGTGCCCTTTGGCAGCTGGCAACTCTTTGGCCACATACTGGATATCGGGTTGGGCTGGGATCGAGAGTCGGGAGACAACAACAACAATTTTTGTAAATAAAATAAATAATTGCAAAAGAACTTAACAGGTTCGCGTCTGAACAGAACGGAACGAAACGGCATGGAGGGGCTGGGGCGTAATCACATTGTCGCAGCTGTCAATAGAATATATACTATACCATATACTATATAGTATGTACATACATCTCGTTGTAAGTCTTACTACTTGCCAAGTTATTCAAACCCAAGTAGCGGTGGATGCCTGAGTGGATGAGTGCCACTTAAGTGGCATTTATAAGACGACGATTTGCAATAGACAAGTCATGAATACAGTTATCTCCGTAACCGGTTCTCTTCTCGATTTTCGAATCACTTGATGGCCGCTTCGTTTCGTTGCCGACAGTCGCTTACGTGTTTCCGTTTAACGTTTACGTTTAGTAATGAATTTTGGTTAGGTTTTGCTTTGGTTGAGCCTATTGCTCGAGCAGGCGGCGATATTCGCACAGGAGCTGCTCCTCACGGATCAAGGGCAGATCGAGATGGTCTTGATCGGTCTGATTGATATCCGAATTGAAGCGTTCGTAGGCCTCGAGCGACTCCAGCTCATCGCGCGCCTTCGACAGCACAACGTCAATGATCGACGAGTTGTTGGCCTGTGATGAGGTGGAGGGTCTGTCGACGCCGCTGTCGTTCGCCAGCTTTGTGGCCAGTTCGAGTGTCTTCTTCAGCTTGTCCTCGCTCTGAAGGGCCTGCAGCAGGAACTCTATGCTCTTCTCAACGTCGTTACCTGTGTACTCCAGGGCGGCGCGAATTGTGGCGTCGTCAAAGCCCAGCTGCTGGAGGGCTGCCATCTGGGACTCATCCGCTGGTGCGACACTTCTGTCAGGCAAGGCAGCAAGCAGCTCAGCCGAATTCTTCTGCAGCATATCTAGCTGTAAGTAATAGAAAAAAATAGGATTTTGAGCCAATTCTTGAGAATCAGGCTAAGGATTGTGTGTGGGGTGGACTTACTGCTTTCGTGACGTCGTTATTGGTGCGCTGCAGGGCCAGGGAGGCCAGTTTTGTATCGAACCCCATCTCGACTAGGGTGCAAACGCTGCGTGGGTTAACCCAATCTGCATCCGTGGCATCCTCCCTGCCGCGCCGATGCACCTTGCGCTCCAGCGTGGATTCCTTGCGGGCATCGCTCAGCTTCTTCTTGCGCTCTTGAATGAACTGCACGGCCTGGTCAATGTTGCCGCCGCTGGAGGAGCAGGAGCGCAGAGCGAGCCTGGCCTCGGCGACATCGAAGCCCATCTCGATCAACAGCAGCAGCTTGTCCTCGTCGACCTTCAGCTCCTTTAGCAGCTCTGAGGCAGCCTCAAACTTCTCGAAGGCCTCGTCGCGGCGATTCTGATGGAAGAGGACGATTCCCTGCAGCAACTTTAGGCGCATGAAGAGTGCCCGCTCCGGACAGGCGCGTCCCTTGAGGGCATACAGACGCTCAAAGCTCTCCCCGTAGCTGCGGCGGAAGCTGCGCTCACAGATGGCCAGGCGCGACTCGGCGTCGGGCAGTTGGGAGACGTTTTTGAGGCACATGTAGCACCAGACAATGTCCAGATTGAGCAGCGCAAAGTTGTCAACCGACTCGAGGAAGCTCGACTGGCAGGCGGCAAACTTCTCGTCGCCTTCGAGCAGCAGAAGCAGGCATTCCTCGTAATCCTCCCGCCGCATGGCAGCCTTGGCCTTCTCGCAGAAGCCGAGGGCCATCAGCAACGAGCGGTTCTCCTCCGGCGGCAGGAACACTGGATTTCCATCCTGATCCTCCATCTCCATCATGCGGTTCTGTGACGAGACCACCGCCTCCACATCAGCCTTGATCTTGTTAAGTCTCTCGTAGAGGTCACCATTCTGGTTGTCCCCCTGTCCACCAATGATCACAATCACAGCCTGGTTGTTCTTTAGGTTCTGCGCTCCCAGCGTGGCATTCGGAGCCACGATCTTCCCGCAGGCGATGCACTTGATGTGCTCGGGATTGCTCAGTTGCAGTTTGGCGGCAATGGCCGCCTGCAGCTCGGAGCCCAGAGAGTTCAGGTCACACTTGATCTCCAGCATGGTGGTGGTGCCTCTGTGATTGTCAATGCGACGCACCTTGAACGTGGCCATGCCCGTCTCGCTGAACTCCCGGCGGGCGGCCAGCTTGCGCAGGGCATGGTCCTGCAGCTCGCTGAGGGCGCTCATGCAGTTGGATACATCGATGCCAAGAAACTGGGCATACCGCTGGGCCAAGTCCTGTGCACAGAGTTAGATCAATGCCAAAAAATTATAGAGAAACTCATCTCTTACCTCCATGACAACTTCAATGCTGCCGATGCCTTCCGTGTAGTACGGCTCCTCCCACAGTTTTATCTTCTCTGCCTGAAGACGGGCCCGCACCAGATTAAGCACATTTTCAATTTGTGACATGATAACGCTGCAATTAATGGGAATCACTTAAAAACCGCGTCAGACCAGAGCAGGGAGCAGGACAATATTTACCTAAATTTACGGTTAATACTCAATGGAACTGAACTGAAGTCTTCTCTGTCGCAATTGCAGCAACAGTGTTGTTGTTGTTGTTGTTGTTGTTGTTGTTGTTCCTGTTGTTGTTGTTGAATGGAAAACACATATTTCTAACTAATGCGAAATAAATTTCATAAATTTTGTGCACTGTCACTAAAAAAATGCTGGATGAAAAGTAAAAAGAAAATAAGAACAGCTGATTCGTGAATCGGGATATTCGCTATCGACTGGTAACTATCGAGTGTGGCAATTCTCTTTGTTTGTCCAAAGTAAGTTATTATAGTTATTCTATTGTTTTATTATTATTCAGTCTATGTCTATCAATCTACATATTGACAGCATTTCCAAAGCGGTTATAGAAATTTCACAATTATTATAATTATTCGGCAATGAAAGCTATCGATAGCTAATATCGCGCTCAGTATCGATACATAGCCATTGCCAATTATTTGAACTTTAACTTATGTTTCGCGTATTTTGTCAACATATTTTGTGTGCGTGTTATTGCATTTAAATACGTTTATTTCGTTTCGGAAACTGTGAGAATCAATGTGGTTTTTGGTGTTTATTGTTCCGTAGTGCTATGCTTTGACTTTTGTCAGCTTGTTGTGCTTGTTTTAATGCAATTGTTGCGCTCAGCGGTACACTCTATACAGACATACAGCTTATTTCGTACAGCAGTGCATTAGATATGGTTTTATTCTCTTTTTCAATTGTGCTGTTTCTCTGTCTCGTGTACTCGTGCAGCAGGACTTGCCGGCTGACTGCACACGGCGATCCTGCCACCACCTGGCACCACCTGCCACATTCCCTACGAGAAACAAGGGTGAGTCCCTGCCTTACCCGACGCACTGTCGTCTGTCACAATTTTCGTTCTGTCAAACGGTAAACTCATTTCGAAAACAGTTTGCCTACTGGCACCATCACACATTCGAGTCTCAGACCAGAAAATACTCCAAAATTCAGCGGATCCTGCGGGAGGATTGCGTGGGGCAGCAGAATGAAGACCCGCCATGTGCCAAACAGCGTCCAAGCAGCGTCTGCCATGACATCGACAACGGCCTCGTACCGGGCCAAACGGCGCAGCCGCAGCGAGGATGAAAGCCAGGAGACCTGCGAGCGCGAAATGCGACACGAGGCCCACGTCCGCGAGCGGCAGGAGGAGGTGAAACGCACTCGAGCTGCCACGGCGGCGGCACTGAGGTCGCGCCAGCAGCAGCACCATCAACTGCAGCAGCTATCGGCGCGCAACAGCCAACGCTGGCCAATGGTGGACCCCACCCCCAGGGGCACGAAGAGCGAGCGATCCCCGGTGCTGGTGCCGGAGAAGCCGGCAAGTAAACCAAAACCCGCGGCAACCAAAAGCAAGCCAAAGGCTAAAGAAAAGCCATTGAAGGCAGTGAAGGAGTGTGGAGAATCGCCGCCGAGAGAGCAGCAGACGGAGAAGGATCCGCTTTGGAGAGAGGAGCTGTTAATAGACGATCCCAGGATCTCCGAGGCGGACATGCGCAGAATTATAAAGGAGCAACAGCAGCAGGAGCAGGAGCAGTCGCTGGGTAAGTGCCGCGCAAGCCTGATCCTGTCAGCTAATTCTTGTCCGTATTCTGCAGGTCATCAGATGCAGCCAGCAGATTCCCAGCTGGCCGTGGCACTGCACAGCCTGGTGGCGGAATTTCTGCACGCGGAGAACTATCAGTTGGCCTTCTCTGTGTTCTGCAACGAAAATCCACAACGTAGGGGCGATGGCGACCCAGAGGCGAGGCACAGCGAGTTCCGCTTCAGCCAGAGCGATTTGCAGGACGTGCTGGGCGCTGTGCTCGCTGGCTGGGGCGACACCACGGAGAAGCTCAGTGCAGCGGTGCAGCGCAGCTACTACCAGGAGCAGGACCAGAGCCTGCTCCGAGCTTTGCTGCGTGTCCTGATGAATGCCAAGCAGCAGCAGCAGCTGCAGTTGAAGATTAAAGGGCCACCAAAGGAGGACATGGATGCCGCAGAGGAGGCCCGTTCCGTGTTGATTGGCCCTCGCCTCTGCGAAAGCATTCACTCCATGAAGCAGCGGCTGAGAGAGGTGATGCGGCACATGATCCCGCTCTCGATTGCATGTGCCCCGCCTGTGGATGTCGTCAGCGAGGAGGATCTCGAGGACTTGCTGCTGCTCGAGCTGGAGGAGCGAGATCGCCTGATCGAGGACGGGCACAAGCTGGAGCCAGCAGAGACTGCCCTACTGCTGCCAGACCTTCACCCACGCAACCAGATGACGGCCCAGCAGGAGGCGGACAACCTAATGGTCGCCGCAGCTGCTGAACAGATCGAGAAACCAGTGATGCATGTGAATATGCCGCAGATGCCGCAACTCTTTGCGCAGCAAATCGGATACATGGCCACCATTCGCCAGAGCGTGGAGCGGATGCTGCGCAGCGAGAAGCAGCCACAGCCGAACAACCTGTTTGCCAGCTTCGAGCAGATGGACCAGCTGGTATCGGAGCTGTGCGTCAATGTCAGCCTGCTGGTAAACATGGTCAACATGGCGATGGAGCAGGAGCATGCGGTGGGCAGGAACGCCGGATTCAAGCTCGGCTACCACGAGGGATTCAGCCATGGCCACTTCTTGGCCGCTCAGGAGGCCGCGAAATTGCCCCTGAAGGAGCAGTTGGAGCAGAAGCCTGAGGAGCGGCCCACCCAAACCATACCATGCCGGGATGTGGCTGTCCAGGCCAAGGCAATTCGCAGCAAACATGTCTCCACACAGACCGCGAAATTGCCCCTGAAGGAGCAGTTGGAGCAGCAGCCTGAGGAGCGGCCCACCCAAACCATGCCATCCCGGGATGTGGCTGTCCAGGCCAAGGCAATTCGCAGCAAAAATGTCTCCACGCAGACCAAGAAAAAGAAGGTGCAGCTGCATGTGCCAGAGGAGGAGCTCCAAGTGGATGTTCCCATGGTGAAACGAGTCGAGGAGGTTCCCAAAGAGCAGCAGTGGGAAATGGCAACCCAAACGATAATGGCCCAAGTGCCTGTGGCCGTGGCTGCAACACAAACAAAGAAGATCCTGAAGACAGAAACTTCAGGCCCAGTGGCAGTGGCTGCAACTCAAACAAGCAAGAGCCAAGAGGATGTGAACACTGCAACCCAAACGTTGAAGGAGGATCAGGAGAAGGTCCAAGTGGCAAGGGGCACACAAACGAAGGCGAGTCCTTGCAAACGGACCTACGAAGATTGGATCGAGGAGATGCTGCGCAGTGGCAGTGGCAAGTTGTTCCTGAAGCGCGTCGAGATGTCGCTGAAGAAGGCCAGCGATCTGCAGAAGCAGCAACTGGAGGATCTCTACCAAGTGAAAATGAAACATCAGGCCGAGATGATGCAGCTGAGCCAACGGCAGAGCTCCTGGCGGGTGAGTAAAAGCTTCCTGAGCTTCTGTTTCCTTTTTCATAATTTTCCACTAACCTTCTTAGACACTTTGCCGCCACATGGACTCGGATACGTCTGTCGAGGCACGAGATTTGGTGCACAAGATCTTCAATCTGCTGGAGCACTACGAGGCCCATCAGCAGCTGCTAACCGAACAGATGGAGGCAACGGAGTTGGCTGCCCAGAAGGCGGTGCGCTTTGTGCCCGTGTTCAACGATAACAATGGAACAGACATTCCCATTTGCACCTCGGCCGCGTCCACACCTCCTACCTCAAGTCGTTCTAAGCCAACATCAGTGGCTGCTGCTGCTGCATCTCCCCTGGAGACGCCGCGCTCTGCCCAGCAGCAGCAGATGGTGCCAGCGGCGCCGACAATTGTTGTGGCACCAGCCTCGCACAGGCCCAACGTGCATACTGTGGCTACCAATACGCCACGCGACACGTCCTCGCCGCCTCAGCAAACAACTTCGCCATATCCAGCATCGCCTAATCCTTCGACGCAGCCGGTTTCGTCTCAACCAGCTTCGTCGCGTCCAGCCTCATGGCGTAGAGCGACAGCATCGCCCCATCCAGCTTCCCCTCATCGTGAGTCGTCTTATCCAGCTTCATCTCGGGCAGCTTCGTCTTACCGAGCTCCGTCCCAACGAGCTTCACCTCAAGCAGCTGCTTCTTCATTCACGTCTCAGGCAGCACCAGCACCAGCAGCAGCTGCTGCGAGCTTCGAGAATGCTTTGGCCAGTGCCAAGAGTCGCATGGAACAGCTGGAGGAGGAGAGTGAGCGGCTAGAGCAAAATTTTCTCGACTATCTGGAGCGCTCACGTCAAACGCTGCCGGAGCAGCAGCTGCCGCCGCCGCCCAGTGCATCCAAAAAGAAGAAGAAAAGCTCGAGACGAAGGTTTGAGGATGCCTCGACTCTGTTCGAAATAGAGGAGCTCAATGAGCAGCAACAGCAAACGCTGACAAAGAATGATAACGAGGTGGAGCCAGAGCCAGCGCCGGAGCCAGATACCTATCAGTTTATTAATACATTAAATGTGGCCAGAAAGAAGCTGCTGGGGGAGCCCTGTCAGCCCGCAAAGGAGCCAACGAAAGGTTTAAGCCGGGAGTTGGCGCAGGTGCAGGAGCAAACGCAGCAAATTCTGTACCGCATGCGGACAGAGCACTCGCAGAGCACCACCCACGACCACCTACTGCCGGAGATCACATCCGAATCGAACAGCAGCAGCAGCAGCGATGAACTGGAAGTGCTCATGCGGCGGGCCATGCACGCAATGAAGTTGAACGAGGAGCAGTCTGCGCTTTCAAATTTCCAGCTGCTTGACTACAACACCAGCAGCACCCTCGCCAGCGGCAGGAGCAGCCGGCACAGCGCTGTCAGCGAGATGTTCCAGCCAAAGACTGCCGCCAGCAGGCAGCCAACGGATAAGGATGCAGCAACGTCGCCGAGCGTACGGCTGCAGCGATCCATGGCCAAGATGCAGGAGCTGTTTGCAGGCGCTGGGATACTAGCACCAGAGCATAGAGTGCCACTGCCACTGCCACTGCCCAGATCCACAACAGATCCCACAAGGCCCGTCAGTGCACCCTCGCCTGGTGGGAAGACAAGAGCAGCAGGCGGTGGAAAAAGCCGCCCCCACACGGCACCCACAACGCAACAGAAGAAACAGAAACAGAATCAGCAACAGCAGCAACAGTACTTCCCTTCAACCATCGAGGATTGTTTCAATGTGAGCTCCTCCGTGGACAGCAGCAGCTACGGGGGACTGGTGCTGGATCATCTGTTTGACAACACGACAGCGAACCGGCAACTGCCAGCCAGTCCGGAGATCCTGCATAGCCGCAACTTCTGGAAACGACTGAACCTATGAGACCACACATACACATACATCCATCGAGAGGGATGTCCTTGGTAGAGTAGATTCCCTTACGCCCATAAATGTGCCACTCATTTCCAAGCCAAAAGTCTTGAAGGGGATTTTATTTTGTAGTTAGATGACAGACAGCTCGATGGGATGGAGAGTCTACAGTGTGGATGCGCTTGGAGTGGAGAGTGTTGATGTCTAGACCGCTGTGCCATTGATCAGATCGTAGGGATCGAGATTCTGGCCAAAGAGACTCGCATGGGAGCGTCGACGCTCTCGCTCGATCTCGTCCAAATCGAAGGCGGCATCGTTGACCGCGAAACTGGCCCGCCTTTGGGCATCGTCAAAGGCATAGCCACGCTGGAATTTCGGCGGATGAGCAGCACCTGGAGCCGCATTCACTGCCACACTCGTGGCTGGATACAGCGGCTGGGGATGCTGCTGGTATCCCCCATGGCCGTAGTTCGAGGGTGACGATGGAATGGCCGCTGGCCATTGAACCACCTGAGTCTTAGGTGGCAACTGCTGCTGCTGCTGCTGCTGCTGCAGCTGCTCCTCCGCTGGCCTGGGCAGCGTCAGGGTGGAGAGGTAGCGATTCTGCTGCTGCAACTGCTGCTGATGCTGCAGCATCAGGTGATTGAATCGCTGCTGACTGGCGCCGGCATTGAAGCTGATGCCGCTCTGCAGCGAGCCGAGACTGTCCTGGCTGCCGGCAGCAGCCGCCGCTGCAGCCGAAGACTGTCGCATGAAGCAACGTGGCAGGGTGCGACTCTGTGCCTGCTCGGGGGGCATCAGTCTCAGCTGTCCCGAGGCGAAGGCGGCGCCCGGCCAGGCCGTCTCGTTGTGCAGCGAGAGATTCGAATTGAGTTTGCGCAGCGGATGGCCCATAGGCGCCTCCAGGGGGCACATCGAGGCGCGTCGTGGGCCCACCAGCTGGGCGTGATCTGTTAAGGATTAGTTGGCGATTAGCCCATGGATCGACTGGCATTGGATCGAATGCTCTCACCTCCGACAACGTAGAGGCGGTCCTCGTCCATGCCGCTACAGCGGAACTGCCGGAAGCCGTGATCATCGCCATCAGCATCGTCGTCATCCTGCCGCAAAGTCGTCTCCGGATCGATGCCCCGCTGCTGCTGTTCGTCCTCCTCCTCGCCGCCGCTGATGTAGTAGATATTCTTCGGCTTGGCACGCCCCAGGACGCCAGTCCTGCGACAAAACTCCTGGAAGAGCTCATCCTTGGTCTTGCGCAGGCCGCGCTTGAGGCCGCACAGACGGGACTGATCCTGCGGCTGCACGTTGTGCGTATTGGTGGCCATGTTGCGGTGCTGCTTGCGCTTCAGCTGGCCCGTGTTGGGTGCTACAGCAGCAGCAGCAGCAGCCCCTGTCGGCGGCGTGCTGTAAATGTCCGTGGTGGTGGACACGGAGCGAGTGAGCGGAAACTCCTGCGGCAGATCGGCGAACAGAGCAGGAGCCGGCAGCGTTAGAGGCGCCACTGGCCCACCCGTCGGCCCGGACAGCTCGTTGAGGGATTTGGCAAAGCTGCGCGAATGGAGATTGCACTTGGACACCGCCGGCTTCTCAAAGTAAAAGCTGCCAAAGAGGGATCACAGCGATCAGAGCTGCAAGGATCAGAGTGGAGAGATGACTCTGCATACTCACCGACGCTCCAGATCGTTGTGCAAATAGAGATTCAGATTGGAGGCGACATTCGGATGCTTGCGGCAGGCATAGCCACCTGGCAGGGTCTGTGTCTGGCCGGGATTGCGTCCGGCATCGTGCACCTGATGCTGCCTGCCCACAGCGGTGTTGCCCCTGAGTGTCCTCTGCATCTGCGGCTGATACGTTTCATGGGACTGCGACTGCTGATGATTAGCTGGAAGATGGACTTGGTTCAGTGCATCCTGACTGCCTGTCTGCTGCTGCTGGACTCCGGGCTGCTTGTATCGCTTGTAGGAGTGACTCAGTGGATGCTGTAGCTGCTGCTGCTGCTGCTGTTGCTGCTGCTGCTGTCCCTCCTTGATTTTGGCATTGATATTGGCCACACTGAAGCAGGGCAGACGCTGCAGGGAGAGAGGAGGCACACAGTGAATCCCATTGGGGAAGGTATTGACATTGAATGACCAGCGAATACCCACACCATAGTAGCTGATCTCCTGCAGATTGATGAACAGAAAGATGTTCAGGACACCCACAAACTCCGTGACGATGAAGCCAAAAACAAACAGAAAGAAGCTCTGGCCGTAGGTGACCTTAAACAGGGCCGGCTGCAGGGTGGAGCGTGGCCGCAGCTTCGATCCAATCTCCGCCTTCAGTATGGATATGTACGCAATCAGTCCGATGAGCATGACCAAACCTGCAGGTGGAACAGCAAATCTCGCACTCACAGTGATCACAAAGAAAACGAGAGGCAGCGGGGGTGGGGGGGGAGGGGACCTACCGCTGACAATGAAGAGGATGCCGGCACTGAAGTAGAAAAGATTGTTCTGGTGCGAGCATGTCGGTATGAGGAACACAATGAAGCTGATGACCAGAAAGACGCCAGCGGCCAGAAAGATGGGGCACGACTTGGTCACCGTGTCTGCAACAACAAAAAAAAGCGATGAGCAAATAAATGTAAAGGATAAATGGAACAATGAAGGATTCCTCTGCGGAGCATGTCCGAGTCTATGCTCCTTTATTCTTGACTCTCGAATGAATTTTGTAATTTGCTTTTCATTTTTTTAGGTGTGCCTGCGTGTCCTGGCAACTGGTCCCCCTACCCGCAGCCATTCATTGTGTGAATGCCGCCGCAAGGCATTAAAATATCATCACACCTGCGTACCCCGTTGAGGCGCCACCATCCCGCAATCCCCCATCTGAGCTGTCTAATAGTTTTTTTTATTTTTTGTTGAAATTGTCACCCGCGGCGAGTTTAAAATTAGTTTTGAGGAATTGCCCATGTTTTGTGTGCGGCAGGAGGGAGGGGGGAATGGAGGATTCTAGCAGGACAAAATTAATGAAAAATATTTCAAATCTTTGTTTGGGGATGTTGGCTCCTGGCCAATTGTGCGAAAATTAATGAAATTCCATTCGACCCCTGTCTGTCTCTGCTTCTGTCTCCCATTGTATGTTGCAATTGTCGCAAAGGACACACGCACAGGCACAACAACACGCGAATATCCTTTTTGATATTACAAAAGTTTATTTATCAAATGAAGCCGCAAAGGGCGGCAGCTAAGGGAATTGCATTTGATTTCCTTCTTATTCGTTTATTAAATGGAAAATTGCAGAATGTGCAGCGTACCCTTTGAACCCTCCTTGCAACACACACACACACACACACGTGTCTGTGGGGACACCACAAATCATATGGACAAAAGTCTTTAATTAAAATTCAACCAACTAAAGGTACTCCCCGCTCCCTCTGCAGAGTGCGTTGGCCACAGGCAATAAATCAATTCCAATTTGGCCTACACGGGAGAAGGAGTAGGAGGAGGCCAACTAAAAACACGAGTACGCAGTCCACAGTCCACAGTACAATAAATGCGGCAGGTAAGAGACCATTAAGAGACCAGTCAAACAGGACAGAAGAGAAGAGAAGAGAAGCCTTTAAGCCATGCCAGTTGCCAGTTTGCCAGTTTGCCAGTTGATTACTAAGCGTAATGAAGTGCAGTCGCACACTGGTTTAACATTCACTTACAGGGTATCGCTGGCGTCGAGTCATGCGGATCCGGCTGGTAGCCCTCGTTGGGGAAATAATCAATTTTAATGCAATTATACGAGTCCACATCGAGGCCTGCAAAAAAAAAAACCAGTAAGAAAACAAAAGCCATTGTTTAGTTGTGTTTATTTTTCTAAGAATATTTTGGTTTATTTTTTAGTGGAATTAAATATGTAACGACTTGAAATGAATTGCAATTTTATAAAGCTTCAAAGGGTACTAAAAAGTGTTCATCATTGATCGGCTTCTTGGGTTTAATATTTCATAAATATTTACGCACTGCTGCAGCTCGAAATGAAATGAACAGAAATGAACAAAAAGATAAGAAAGAAATATTCGAACTATGAGATGGAAGAGTCCTCTGCTGGCTGCCCAATTTGCACAAGCAATAAATGCTTAGATCCTTCAATTAAATGTAAATAAATTCTGCTCCACATTGACATTGAAAAACATTTAAATTCGTTGTGCAGTGACTGAAAATTCTGTGCACGGTAAACTACAAATTCGAATTGAAGTGGACAGGAGAAACATTTGGAAAAAGCAATCCCAGAAGTTCGATTTTACACTCAAGAGCCACACGCACAAACAGCTAAAAATCCCAGAAGCCCAGAAGCCCAGAAGCCCAATGCGTAGCACTGGAAAGCATCAAACAACAGCAGCAGCAACGGGCAAGAAGCAGCCACAGCAAATGGATTGCTCCAAGAGCAAGGAGCTGAAGAAGACACAGCCTTCGACATTCGCCAACACTTTGGTCAGCCAGGTTCAGGGACAACATGCACCAGTAGCTGCTGCAAGAAGCTCAGAAGGTGGTGCCGGCGACGGGCTGGCAAAGTGCGGAAAGGATCGCTTGGTGTCGCTGCGCTTTCAGAACATCTCGCTGCTGCATGGGGACGTGAAGTTGCTGCAGGAGCCCAACTGCGGCATGAACGAGCGGCTGGTCGCCTTCTACTTTGCGTATCTGCAGCACAGACGCTTCAAGCGGCAGTCACAGGTGTACTTCATGCAGCCGTCGCTGATGCAGAGTCTGCGCCAGCTGAGCCAACGTGCCATGAGGCGCGAAATGTGCCAGCGCGGCCTGCACGAAACGAAGTTCATCCTGCTGCCGCTGTGCGCAGCGCCAGGCTCCTTCAACGTGGACCACGAGCACTGGTCCCTGCTGCTGATCGCCCGGCCGGAGCGCAAATTGTATTACTACGACTCGATGGACAACAGCCACAAGCAGCTGGCCGTCGCCCTGCAACAGTGTCTGTGCATGCCACTGGCCCTCACCGGGTTCAGCCTGGTCGTGGGCCGCTGCCTGCAGCAGGCGCACGACGAGCCTCACCAGTCGGGCATCCATTTGATGTGCATGGCCGACCATGTGGCTGACTATGTGCTGCGCTGTGGCTACGCCTCGAGCAGCCTGCTCATCGCACGCGACTATGTGCAGGGCATGCGCACAGTTGTCCTTCAGCATATCCAGTGCATGGGCGGAATTCTGCCCAAGAAGAAGCGCAGCTCCTCTGAACTTTGAGCCTCTGCCCTCTGACTGATTTTCTCTCTTTCGCTTTGTTGTATCGTTCAGCGAGTAAATTGTAAATAAAAGCAATTCAAATCCACTGCTAATTAATGGATTGACTGTGATCTGTGTTCTCATTTAGGCCACGCGATACAGACGCATCATCATTCAGATCGGGCCGTGTGTCTGTGTCACATTCATCTCGATTTGGGAATTTAGGGGCGGTGAGGCTTACCTGGCAACGTTGTGCACAGTATCCAGAGACTGGACTTTGTGTATTTGGTGATGTAGGCGCCATCGTCCAGGGCATTAAAGTTGGCCGTTCCATTGTAGTTGACATTCGGCAGCTTCTCCTCGGTGAAGAGCCACTGGGGCCCGGCTAAAGCGGCAATCACAATGGCAACGGATATGCTGAAGGTACAAACGAAAAGTACATTAGATTCATACAGATACATACAGCCCAGCCGCGCCCCCTCTAATGGGGGTCTCCCCTTTTTCTTGCCAACATTTTAGCCCGATTAAAAATACCTCAAAAAGTAGAACGAAATGCCGTGTGGTGGTTGGCCTGTGTTCTGCCAGGGATATGCAAATAAATGTCGCACAAACTCAATTGCTGGCGTGCTGGTAAAATATGTGCGAACAAAAAAAGTCAAGCACATGGCATGCGAAATGGGATAGGTATTTGGGAATGAATACCTTTCAAATGTGTCTAATTGGATTCAGGAATCGAATTTAAATGTTCAAATGCGACGATGTTGGCATTAATTGTATGCGGCATTAATGCTAATACCAATTAAGCTGTGCAACAAAACGCAAACAATTGCATTTACTTTGCATGATGCAAACAAATGTGCTACTTAAAGTGGGTGTGCTAGAGTCGAGGGTCTAGCTACTAGGACTCCAAGTACCATCAATACAATATCATAATCCTCTTAGAATCAGACTCTACACTTGTACAAATAAGAGAAAAATTGGTTTGAATTGCTAAATGATTCGTAGCTGAGGGCTTCATTCGAACAAGAATAAAAAAAGTGAGAAAACTTCTATCTTTAGCTTCAGCTAAAGCCAGTGACTTGAAACGCATACAAAAATCTTATGTTCTCCTTTCAAGCATTCAATCAATTATTTTGTCCATTTGCGCTGCGAGACGGTGCGAAAAATGCCATCAAATAAAACATATAAATATAAAATTATAAAAACTTTTTGCTGCTCTAAGCACGCGGATGTATTTGTATTCCTAAAAAATAAACATTTGCATTGATGTACCAAAAATATTTACCCGCACAGCTCATAAATCTATGCAGAGAAATTCAATAAAATTGTTTTGCTTTTTTCTTTACTTTGGGACTGAAACTTGGAGCTTATTGGCTGTGGCCTGGGTGGCTGGGTGGCTTGTGCTGTTGTGGTGCGAAATGCGAAATAGTTTGCGAACAAATTAAGCCTCACTTTGCAGTGATTTGTGCTGCTAACACAATTATGTGTCGGGCAGGAGCATGTTGCTGCTGGGCTGCTGTGTGCCTGTCGCCTGTCGACATTTCTTCAACTTTCTTTAAACACAAAACATAAATGGTGGCCTCTGTGTGTGTCTTAAGGTGCTGCTGCTTCTCTGTGTATATTGAAGGCTTTACTTTTTATAAGATTTTTCAAAGGAATTTCTGGAATTTTGCAGCAAGCACAAGGGCAAGGTGAAAGGCAGCTACAAAGGGGTAAAACACACAACGGGTGTGTGGAGGAGCACCCCCTTGAATCCATTAAAGAATTGTACATAAAACCCAACCAAAAGCTGTGACTTACCTGGCGGCAACAGGTGTAAGGAGCCACAGGTAACTGCCGCTGGCCAGGCTGCTCAGACTGCTGAATCCATGTGTCTGCTGCTGCTGCTGCTGCTGCTGTTGTCCACCGGCTGGCTGTCCACGTGGCTGCTGTTCCATGGTTGGCAGCGGCAGCGGCACTGCTTGCTGCGGGTAGTGGCCCACTGCTTGTCGCGACTGCTGCGACTGGCGTCGATTGCCTGCCAAATTGTTGAGCTGCAGATCGCTGCCGAAGCCAGTGGCGGGAATGCTGCCCGAAATGGTATTGATCACGCCAGTATTCTGCTGCTGCTGCTGCTGCTGCTGTCTCTGTGGATATGGATGTGGTGGCATGGCAAATCTCTGGCCACGCGGCAATGTGGCATAGGGTGAGTGCTCCTGTTGCTGCTGTGACGGATAACTGTGCTCTATGGATGCACTGGTGGTCAATTGATGTGGCTGCTGCTCAATGTTGTGGCTAATGCTGCTGCTTATCTTCGTTGGATGCATTATCGGCTGCACATTGTTGTAGGGACTCTCGCTGTTGATGCTGTGCGTGGAGGCCACGCGGAATACACTGGGCACCGATGGATAGTCCCTCATGATGCTGCCACTCGACACTCACTTGAACAAATAACCAAAACAACAAATTCACGCGCCAAAACAAGCTAATCAAAGCACACAAAAACACACACACACAAAGAATGGACTCTCGATGGGCACACAGAAGAGGCTGCTTCCGCTTTATTTTACTGATGATGCTGCTGCTGCTGCTGCTGCTTCCGGGGCACGTCTGTTGCTCTGAAGAACTTTCAAGCGACTAACAAGCCAGGCAGCAGGACACAGACACGGATACGCATTCGGCTGTGGCAAGCTCGCCTCACGAGGCCCCACGAGCATACATCGTTTTGGCTGCAGCATCGCTGTGGCACGCAGCTCAGAGGGCAGGCACACAGATATCAAGGCAGCAGCAGCAGCAGCAGTGGCAGGGCGAAACTTGGATGCCCTCGAAGAAATGGCCAGCAAAATGTTGCCCTATAATCTATGCAAAAGAGCATTCGAGCAGCAGGAGGAGAAGCACGAGAAGCAGCACGTGGAGCAACACGAGGAGTGGCAGCAGCAGACGTTAGCAGCTTCCGGCTGTTGGCCAAAAGTCACTTCCGGCCGCTGGGGGATCTATCCATCTACCTATCCGTATCCGTAGCCATAGCCGTAGCCGAATCTATTCGTGTGCACATTTATTGCTCTGACCAGGGCGCTGCTCTCCCGCTGCTGCTCCTGGCACTCCACTGCCTCCCTGCTCTTGCAAAGTCTCGTTTATTTAATTGAATTCCCACACGTGATTGAGGCAAGTCCAACTCCAGCTCCGACTCCCGGTGCCATGATTGTGCCACATTAAAAGGGTACAATACCTGTGCTGGGCCACACCACAACATCATCCACCAGTCATGTCCCCCTCCTCACCGAAGCACCTTGTTAAGTGCACTACTGCCGCCAAGCATGGCAGTGCAAAGAAGAGCCCTGAGAGCACGAGAATGAAGTGAAAGTGTGGAATTGCTGAGGACTATGGCTCAGACTATGGCCACGGCTCAGGCTCCGGGCTCCGGGCTCTTCTCTATGCTCGAGTAAAAGCGAAAGATTATAGTGGCATCATAGAGACACCTCAACTCTGCTCCTACTCCGCATTGAGTGCACAAACACACACACACACACACACACACACACCCATTTTCGGTTCTAGGGGCGACAAATTGCATCAAAATCGGGTATTGGTGATTGGAGCTGCATGCTGCATGCTGCATGCAGAGTGCAACATTTGCCAGACAAAAGCCGCAGACTAGCACAAAGGAATGTGCTGGCCAACTAATCGAAAATCTGTGCAGCTTCCTGGCCATTAGTGACAAATGAAAATAGTAGTTGGGCATTGATGTAGCAGCCCATTGATGGATAAGACGACACTAATTAAGGCTAGAAAACCGCATGGAAAGCTGCTGGCAGCACACAATATTGAACAGGCGCCGAGCAAATTGGTTTTTGGGATTGGGTCTAGGGATTATGCCCGAATTGCCACGCATAATACTATGAGTACCTTTGTGCACGAGCCTCTGTTCCTTTTATCATTAATTAAGATCAGTCGAGCAGCTCGTATATGCACCCAAGCAGCGCAAAGCAGTGCATGCAGTGCAAAGTTGTCAAGCAGTCCAAGCAGCTCCATTCGCATTTATGAATCATTCTACTGGGCTTTAGACTTGTAGATAGATTTGAAATAGATGTTGTTCCCCCACAACTCAACACAAATGTTGCAAGTGCAAAATACTTAGCTGCAAGAAAAGAAATGGGATTTCTGTTGCCATTCCTCCTAACGCTTCTGTTTTACCCCATGGCAGGGCTAGAGCTGAATAATTAATTAGATTAGTATTACATTTCTATTGAATTTTGATACATTTCCCAGGCCTCACGCTCGTTGCAGTTTCTCTGTGTCTCCTTTTTGGAGTTTTGAAGCATTTAAATGCAGAGCAGCCAGCAGCCAGCAGCCAGCAGCAATGGCAGCAGAGTTTACAACTTTTGAGAAAGTTTCCCTTCTAAATGTTGGCAACACTTTTGCTCCTTTTCTTTACATACATATACCCATGTACTATTCATACATATATACATATTTACTATATATTTAATGCTGCGTTTTGTTTTACACAGGGAGACGTAGCGGCGGGGACTCTGTTTGCCTTGTGCCTTTTGGCAGTTTAGTGTTGCATTTTCTTTCTTTTCTTCGTTTGTTCATTCGTTTTTTCTTCCTGTAAAAATGTCAAATGTTTGCTTGACATACAGTCCCCACCATGTTGTTAGTGCTCTCTCGGATCATACTCGTAGCGAGTGGGGGAGTCCATCTTGAGCCACTGTATTTGCTTTCATGTACATTGTCCATCTATTGAAGTGGATGTGGATGTGCCAGTGCAACATGTGTGTGGCTGTGTTGCAAGCTAATTTCGTGCTGCTGCTGCTGCTGCTGCTGCTGCTGCCACTCCATCTGCCCTCTCCCCTCGCTAGGTACAAACAAGCAGCATCCTTCTCTCTCGCCTCTCTTCCGCCGACTGCCCAAATTCCTGGCTTGGCCCCTTGCTTGCGGTCACTTTTTGACATTTTTTGGGGTGCCTGGCCCCAACCTTTGGCACACGCTGCTGCTGCTGCTGCTGCTGTTGCACTTGCAATTGCACTTCAATATTTGCTGCTCAAACAAAAAGAGTTTTTCATGTTGCACCCAAAGAAAAATGAAGGCCTGCGTGGACCAGCGGACCAGCGGACGAAGCCCTTCAAGAAACATTTTTAGGCTCTTTTGTTTTTTGTGGGCAAGAGATCAGGGAACTAAAATCTTTCAATGCTGGCTTTAATTATAATTTAGGCATTTCTGCAGATACATTTAATCACTACCTGCGAAAATGATCAAACATTTGGGGCATTAGTAAACCATTATTTAGGGACAGTATTTAGTCCAGGAATTCTCTGCTGGAATTCTAAATCACGTAACCCAAATCTATGAGTGTATCCATGGGCTTTGTTGGTGATCTGTGCTCGAGACTACATACTCCTTGATGGAGATATCCTTCCTGTTTTTCTGTCTGGCCTAAACTCTTTTCGACACTTTGTCAGTTGGTGGCGCTGTGGCTGCTGCTGGTTTGCTGCTGTGGCTGCTGTCCAAATATTGATTAAATGCACAAAAACCAAAGCCAATGGACAGGACTCCCTTCACTGGGGCTCGGGTTCGGGTTGGGGTTTGGGTTTGGGTTGTCTAGCATAGTGACACACATAAACCGCAGGGACAGATTGTTGCTGCTGACTGATTAGCGCCTTTGCCTGCTCTTTGTGTGGCTGTGTGTGAAAATTGATGAGCAATTAAGGTTATTGACCAACAGCCCGGTCGAAGGGTGCCAGAGTGGCAGTGTGGCATAGGGACAATGACGGTTGGCTAGGCAGAGCCACCTCGGGTGACCCAATCGCATGTACTCAGCCAAGCGACAACAATGAAAAACAACCCACCTCCCCGCCTGCCCATGGCCACCCGACCATGGCAGGGACATCGACATCGACATCGACAACGACAACGACAACGACGGCTCCTGGTCCGATCGATGCTCATCCAAACCAATCCGCCGGATGAGAGGCGTCAAACGGAAGCGGAAGCAATTGACTGGGTGACAGGCTGCCGGCTGTCCCTGTCCCTGTCCCTGTCCCTGTCCCTACCACTACCCTGCCCCGACCTGCTGCTGAACCAACGCCGCGGAATGCTGATTAACATTAACTGATTTAAGGTGAACGACTAACCTAAATCCAAAGCGTCAGAAGCAGAAGGAACAGCAGCAGCCAGCAGCAAGCAACAGCAACTCCAGCCGTAAGTGGAGCGGAAGCAGAGTGTTGCAAACAAACGAAATGAGCAAGGCAAACTGCAATTAATTTTGCACATGCAACACCACAGTCCCCCTCCACCAGCACACCACCCTCCAAGCCTACCCACCTTCAGGTGCACGAAAAAATAAAAAACATGGAGACAGGAAAAAAGATTCGCAATTTTTTTGCCAGTTTGACGGCTAAATTCAATAAATAGAAGGCAGAGAGTGGAGTAAATCCAGTTACATGTCGAATATTCCAAAATTAAGCTGGAAAAAATGTGTAAATGTTTTTCTGGCTCCGGCAGTCAATCATGTGATGAACTGACTGCTCTATTAAGGGCAAGTTTTTTATTTGATGCTCTGTCTGCTGTTCGAAACCCGAAACCCTTTGGGCACGTGACCATTGGATAAACTAAAAATAAAAAAAAACCAGCACACGTTTTAACAGGGGGGTGGAAGGTGGGCAAAAAAGAGCCACAGCTACCTGTGTGTGTGTGTGTGTGTGTGTGATGTACACAGGCCAATGCACACAGCCGCCGGAGAGTATGCAGCGGTTTTTTGTACCCCCGCCTGCAATTGACTGCTTGACTGACTGCTTGACAACGATGCACTGCTTGGCGAGCCAGTACGCAGTGAACACATATGCATACATATACTGCTTGGCGATTCACACGTTAGCCGTGCACACTGCTTGAGTGATGGATGTAATTAAACTTTTTTCCACCCACAGTTAGAACAAGCGAGAGAAGAGTAGAAGAGACGCAGTGGGAAAAAGCCGCTGCTAAAGCAGATGAAGAGCGAAAGGTGGGGTGGAGGGGGGCGAACAAAAAGTTAGAAGCCACAACAGGAAGCCTCAAGCGTTTGCAGATCCATCGCTTATTTGATTACTGATTAGATTTGGATTTCCATTTATATTCTAAGTGGAGACGGAACCAAGTAAAATAAAACCGAAAACCGTTTTAGCTGCCAAAAGGGCTGCCTTAATGGGTATAAAAGAGGTGGCACCACAGCACGATGAGGATGCTCCACCACAGCCCCGTGCATATAGATAACCCGGTGGATGGCACAACCGCATACAGCAAAAACCGCATCAAATATTAAAAATGTCGTTTGTCCAACTTTTCGAGAGAGGGAGAGAGTCGTCTGTGGCCCCACGGCTCCATCTCCAGGACAATGTCGTTGTCAAAGTTAGTTGTCCCCCGGATCTGTGGCTACTACTTGCATACAT